CACGACGCGGCAAGCATTATCCTGTGTGCAGAAACCATTATTCATGTTATTGGGTGCATCCAGAAGCACGATGTATTCTTGTATCTGATATACATTTAGATTAATGCCAAGATGAAACTCACAATTCATGTTTAAATTGTTACAAACATGTACAAACGCCATCACACAGAGAATTCCGTAGCGACGTAATCGTAAGGAAATCGATTAATTATAATTGAGTATAAATGCATCTTACGTCGCTACGTCTTATGTCGTCTTATGTCGCTACGGAATTTTGTGTGTGATGGCGTTTACTATTCGGACTCAACGACTCAATTGCTTTCTTTGAAAGTACGCAATTTAACCACAGGGTAGAGGTAGTTATTTTTTAACTATATATTTTATGTTACAATAATAACTTTGACACACATTTAACTAAACATTTAGTTAAAAAAATGTTACTCAAGAAATTGGTTTAAATTTAATTCTTTTACATTTAACAGTGAAGGACCAATTAATTTTTCCATGAGACCAGCGTCCGAAATTATTAAGTAGGGACGAAAAAGAGAGGGGTAACAATTATAAAAATTATAAAAACTTGTGACAGCCCTTTCCGGACAGAAAATATTCCGGAATAACATATCAAAAAGTCTTAGAGTCTGCAGTTAGAACTCAGTTCGCAAACATCACTAAACCAAAGTATTTAAAGTAAACAAAACTGTGCTGGTTAACGTGCAACGATCATCAATAACAACAAGTGAGAGAAGCCGCCGATCTCGCTTCCGGAGCCAGAGGTCCCCCTCCCAGCCTAAACCAACTATACTACTTGAACTTCCGAGGCTTGCGACAATCTCCAAGCCGTAAGTCCCTTTATTTAAATTTTCTTTTTTTTTATTATTGATTACATTCCCTCGCTTTCTCCTCGAGTTAAATAACCAGATTCAGGTTGGTTTTCTTTCTTTTTATTATAGTGAACGATTCAAGTTCAAATTCTAATACCATCCGCCGTTTACGCCAGAATCGATCTTAATATTTGAATCTAAGCTTTTGACAGAACTGACATCATAAATTGAATGTTAAATCATCGCAACTTAAACTTCCTGCAGCTCTAAACGCTAAGACCAAGCAAATCATCAGCTCCGCTAAAAGAATTTTTCGCACAAACATAAATAATGTCCATCAGAAAAGTCGACACCGGTCGAGTGTTTGTCAGATCGGATATTTCGCACTGCGAATGCGTGGGCAATCATAAATTTGTCAATCAAATTACACTGCGTGAGGATTAAGAAACCACCCTACCATACTCACACACCACCAATAGAATGCATAGATTCTTCTAAATGTTAGCATTTTATGCCCCATCGAAATCAAAAGGATCATTTCATTAGAAACGAAACCGTATCTGGCAAACACGGGGAGTAATAAATTTTAAATTGTTTGAATAATGTCGACATAACCTAACGAAGTTTCTCTCACGCTGCATAATTAATTTTTTTTCATCAAATCAACGTCCGAAATTATTAAGTAGGGACGTAAAAGAGAGAGGTAACAATTATAAAAATTAGAGACAGCCCTTTCTGGACGACTAATATATCGGTAGAATTTAGAGTATGCAGTTAACACTCAGTTTTGTCAGAATTACTAAAAGAAGAAACATAAAGTGTGAACCAGATTGTGCCAATTAATTGTGCAACTATCATTAGTAGCAACAATTTAAAAAACCGCTGATTTCGTTTCCGAAGCCAGAAGCCCTCCAGCTTAAATCGATTAGCGTTACGTGGACTTCCGAGATTTTGCGACAATCTTCAACCAGTGTAAGTCCCTCTATCAAATTTTCTTCTTTTATTATATACATTCCCCTTCTCACTCGAGTTATACAACCAGATTCAGTTCAGTTTTTTTTTCCTTTTATTCTAGTGAACTATGATTCAAGTTCAACTTTTCAACCCGTCCGCCGTTTACGCCCGGCTCGATCTCGAGTAATTCAAACATTGAGAAATTTGTTATTTATCCTTCAGTTATTGACCCGTTTTTCAGATCCAAATATACAAACCGTTCAAGCCACTGGGTCAGACCCTTGAAAGTTGACCGGCGATACGTGACTGTTACTATCCTCTCCAACTCAGGACGTAACAATAAAAATAATTATTATTTAGAAAATTCAAATGAAAGAGCCAATAAAATTCAGCAAAATATATTGAAACATAATAAAGATAAAGATATAATATACAGGGTGTCTGGCAATAATCGCCCCACCGGTCATATACAGGTAGAGGAGGTCAAATCGAGTAGAAAAGTCCTTTATCATTTTTTAATTTTCATAATAAGTACTGAGTAATTAACGAAAAAAGATCGGCGAATCCGCGCGAGTAAAGCGCGCGCGGCGAGAAGGACGTCCCACTGCTATGCGATCACTAGGCGCGCGATGAAGCGTTGGGAGGAGCGCTCTACAAATGACAATGGCTGCGTTCAGCAGAACAACTGCTGAATTGTCGTCTAGTCAACACTTAACGTTGATTTGTTGGTTCTAAAAGTAAGAGCCAATCATGTTCGATTGCTACCAAGCGATTTGTTCTGCTGAACGCGCCTAATGGCAACATACGAGCGGCGCGTAACGCTAGATCCTTGTGTCCTAGTGATCGCGTAGCAGTGGGACGTCCTTCTCACCGCGCGCGCTTTACTCGCGCGGATTCGTCGATCTTTTTTCGTTAATTACTCAGTACTTATTATGAAAATTAAAAAATCGTAAAGGACTTTTCTACTCGATTTGACCTCCTCTACCTGTATATGACCGGTGGGGCGATTATTGCCAGACACCCTGTATATTATAGATATGATATATATAGTAAATATATATATATATATTATATATAAGTGCCGTCTATTTACATAAAAAACCATTAACTATTTCATGGAAAACAGAAATCAATAATTATCTACAGGCTCCGAGGGAATGTGCAGATGTAAATATTTTGGAATAATGGAAATGTCACGCTCATATTTTTATATTTATCCAACATTATCAAAAATGGCTCAAGACATTTTAAGTTCAACTGCCTCGTCTGTGCCAATAGAAAGACTTTTTTCAATAGGAGCTCTGACTATGTCGAAAAATAGAAACAGATTACAATCTTTGAGAGCATTAATGTGCATCAATTCATGGTTGAAATGTTCTTTAATGTCCAAAATTTGCGAATTTAATTTCTAATTTATAAAAATTTTATATTAAATGTTTCTATTAAATGTTTCTTGTTAACATAAATATTTTTATCAATTAAAATTTTTTTAAGTTTGTATAATATAGTGATTTTTTTCTCATCTAATTTACAAATATAAATATTCTAACTTTTATAAAAACCAATCTTGACAAGACCAATAATCTTGACAACTTAGTCTTGGTATTGTCTTGATAACTAATTAAAAATCTTGTTTTGATCTGGTCTCGAATTTCGAGACAAGACAAGATAATACCAAGACTAGTCTTGGTATCTCGTGCAACCCTAGTCTTGGCGACACACGCGACACATTGCCAAAAAAATCACTGAACCGACATTTAAATGATGACTGAGGACATGTTCGAAATTACTGCGTGTCAATTCTGACAAATTATGATAAAAATTCTAGACTGTAAGTAAATAAGGCTCTAAGTGCCAATTAAAAAAAAATTGCGATTAAAATAAAAAACTGCTCTACGTGCCATTATTAACAACGTGTATAAAGCACTAAATGTTAAAAATATAATAAATGACTTAAAATAAATAATTTGTAGACTAAAAATATTAAAGGCTCTAAGTGCCATAGCTAATAACGTGTATAAAGCGCTAAGTGCCATTCGTATAATAAATGATTTACAATAACACTTTTTATTAGAGATGTGCGATTTTGCGATATATCGCAAGCATCATAATTTTTTTTTTTTTTTAATTGTAGTGCGATTTGCAATTGGATTTTTAATCGCGAAATCGCATGCGGTTTAAAATTGCGCCTCCGATTTAAAATTGCGCCTGCAATTAAAATTGTAAATGTAGGTCACAATCGCACTTGTAATGAAGTATTTATTCATTAATTATTTATACACATATAGAAAAATAATAAAACTCAAATAATAAAAAATCAAATAATAAAAATAATAAAAATCAAGAGATACGGTTACTTGCATTTGTTTGAACGCGTGATATTGTTCAAAGATTCGCATTTGTCTGAACGCGGATCGGCTGTCGCGAGATAGCGAGAGCTTATCGTCAGTCTTCCGTGGCAGACGCAAGTAATCGAGTTGACATTGTGAAATGTTCGCTGTGGAGATATTAAAATCTTCAGTGGAAGCAATGGAAGAAAGCAAATCAGTTGAAAGTGAACTACCATCAACAAGAAAATCGGTAAAAGATTTTTTTAAATTATTTAATGATGAGAAACAGACAACCCACACTAAAGGCAAAAACAAAAAGATCTGTTGTTTATGTAACACGGCTGTGTCATGTCCTGACAGAAATGTCAGTAATTTGAAAAATTATAAATTTCAATACTGATAATGAATACTGATAAGAAGGCAGCTCTTTTTGTGCTCAACAGTGCAAACATTACCCCCTACATGATTCATATACACCACCGGATTCATTGGTACTACACCGCGCATGCGTGAAAAATATCTTTTATAAGAACATTGCTCGAGATGTATTTTTTATTCATTAACGATCAGTTTTTGAAGGGACGTTTATCTCAATACGGACGAGAAAGACGCATACGGAGTAAATTGTATCTAAGCTTCTTTAATTTTGAGAGGAGGCAATAATCACAAAGTTCTTCATCCCAGAATTTGTAAAACTAATCCGCAAAGTTAAAAAAAGGGTGAGTGCACATAAGAAATTTGCATTTACGTTTTTTTTTGCAAGTTTACTTTTTAGTCAATATTCCAGTAAACATTTGATATCTTATGTATATACATAAAATATCCATAATGTGAAAAAAATGTACTGTATATACTATGTATATACATATAAATAAAAAATTTTTAAATTTATCGTTGATGCATATAGTAGACATTAAGGATATGTAAAACAAGTACATTTTGTACTTACGCTTCAAATTTTTTTTTTACCAGATTTTACGTGAACAATTACTACCATGGCTAGTCTCCTACAGCATTTAGTCAACAATTACACTGAAGTTTTGCAAAACCTTAAAGGTAAATTTATGTTTATTATTTTTTACTGTTTTAATATTACTTTTAAATATTTTTAATAATTATATTTTCTGCAATTTAATATTGTTATGCACGATCTGAATTGAATTTCATTTTTTATCGTAACTAAATTAGAATTACAATCGTATATTTATAAATAATATATGTCAATAAAGTTAATTATAAATATATGTATTGCTGATTTCATCATAAATGTACACAGAGAAAAAAATATACTAAAAAAAAAGAAAATTTCCTTAATTTTAGTAAATCGTTAGTTTGCATACAACTGTGAACGCATTTTTTTTAAATAAGAAAATACATGTATTTATTTGAAGAACATAATTCTATTATAAAGGAAATTATTTATTAAATTATAACAAGTATTTTGTATAATACAATCAATGATTATTGAAATATAATTTTTATTTTTTACTAATTAGTAATTTTCCAATCATATTTATTTATTTCAAGAAAATGCTTTTTTTATTAAGTAAAAAATCATTAATTGTAAGAATTATTTTGTACATTTTAGTCAATATTTATTGAAATATAAATCTTATTTTTTATAAATTAGTAATTTTATAATAATATTGATTTAATTTAAGAAAATGATTTTTCTATTAAATAAACTATTCTTAATTTGTAAAAATAATTTTGTACAATATAGTTATTATGTACTAAATTATAGCTTTTATTTTTTACTACTTACTGATTTTGAACATAAAAATGAGAATTGATTTATTTTCCTAAATCTATCAAAGATTTACAAGACTATTTCAATCACAAGTAATAATGACTAACCGCTTATTGAGCTACTTTTTCTACTGAATGCAGTCATTAAAATTCTTGCGAAACAACATACAGAAAAACATTTAAACGAAAGAAAAACAGATAGTAAAAAAATGCGTTTTAAAAATTTAAAAACTTATTTGTTCCAAATAAAATATTCTTTCTCTTATTATTGAATATATTAACTTTATTTCAGCATATGTTTCCTCAAATGTAATAAATTGTACTGAGAAAATATTTTTTTTATAAGTGCACTATTCATTATTTTTAAAAGTTTGGAAACATAAATTTAAACAAATATTTATTAAAACACTGTTTTTAAAATTATAAAATTTGGATTTAGTATTTTAAAAATTTATTCACTACATTTTAACAACTATTGCACTGTAATATACTAAACCTGAATTTGATTTAAGTAAATTTTTTAACAAGAAATTATTTTCTAATTTTAATGCATTATTTACTATAGTCTAATTGAGAAGTTTTCGAAAGAGAGAAGTTATTGAAAAAAGTTATAATAATAATAAACACTGCACTCTAAATCTGCATCTAAAACTCGTCAGACTTGTCTCCAACAATTCCGTGCTATAGACAAACGCACTCATGAAAAATATTCAAAAGCTATAGCGTATTTCATTGCTACTTCTATGCATATAATATGACATTAGTATAATATGCATATAGTATGCATATTCTATGCATACATATAACATGAATTTTCAAGGATTTCGAATATTACTAAAAACAATAGCTTCTAACTTTGAATGTCCTCATAGAAACGTTATGACTGAAAAATATATCCCTATGTTATATAAGCCCAGTGAGCATTATTAAGAGGAAGAGCTCTTTAAGAGGACTTTTTGAAGACCTCATTAACATCTCTTAAAAATGATATCAATAAGTTATCTTTTTATAAGACGTCTTTCAAAAAAGCCCTTTATGATGTCCACTTATAGATGTCTCTAATAAGTGAGCTCTTGAACCGATAACAACCGGTAGTTCGATACGGTCGTCAAGGATAATAAACAATAATAAACGCTCGCGTTGTGCGCGCCAAGTGACATAGCCCAAGTAAAACGTAAAATAACCTAAACTTGGAGGAATTGTTATTTAGGAACACCTAATAAAACCAATCAACAAAAGATTGAAAAAATATCACAAGAAAAGAAGAATCTCATAATGAATTATGTTGTAGTAAGTGTATAAAAATAAATTTTTAATAATTTATATTTCAATAAATATGATTTAAC